CTTTCTAGTTAAATTTAAGAACTTCTCTATTCTTATAGAATAGGTTTATCTTAAGACTCTTAACTTTAACTATATAATTAGGTCTTTAGTTTAGTATATTAGTAGTAATATTCTTCTTTTTATTAATATACTTAATCCTAAACTAGTAATATAAGAGATCTTAAGCCTATTTAATTTATTATCCTTTAAGTTCCTTTATTATTATAAAGTATATTAAGTTCTTATAGTTAGTCTAAATAATAACTTTATACTTTACTTTTTTAAGGTAGTATCTCTACTTCTTAAAACCTTCTATAATTACTAAGGCTTCTTAATTATAAGTATTATACCTTTATTTAGTATTAGTTATCTATTAAGAGTAGAAAGTTATAAGTTATAATTTCCTATCTTCTTTCTTCTACTTAAGGACTATCTTAATTACTCCTCCTAAGGTATCTATCTTTATATAATACTATAGTTCTAGGTTAATAAGTAATAGAATTAATACTTCTTTTATACTTTTCTTAACTTTTTTAAAAGTATCTTACTACTTAGTTCCCTATATAAATAGTTTATTATCTTATAGTAATTTTATTATTAGTTATATAGTTTTAGTATATTAATAGAGATACTCTAGGAGGTCCTAATATATCTTATAATTCCTAAGGATCCTTTAAGTCTTATTAGTTAGTATAGGCTATTTAAGGATCTTATTAACTTTCTCTTATAATATCTTTTATCTATCTTATATAAAGATTATTCTAAGATATTTAATCTCTATTATATTAAATATATACTTCTAGATACTTATTATAAGTCTAGCCTCTATTATTATTTATATAACTTTATATATATATATCTCGTGCTCCTTAGGATCTCTAGAGAAGATAATAATATTATTAAAATAGATAGTAACTATATAAGTCCTATAAGTACTATAACCTATTTATATAATCCTAAATCTATAAGAAATATTATTAACTATTAATCTTCTTTCTTTAATAGGAGGTTATAGTAACCCTATTTAATATTAAAGATAGTTAATTACCTAGCTTCTTATAATAAGTCTCTCTTCTATCCTATATAAGGCGCCTAGTTTATATTATTAATTATTAGGTTATTTAATTATTAGAAATTAATAACTACTTACTTCTTTTTATTTTTCTTAAGGATAAATATTAGCTATAAAGAGTATTATAAGTTAGATTTATAAATATATTCTACTTATAAGAATTTCTTAATAAACTCCTATTCTAGTTATAACTCTTCTAGTGATTTCCTAAACTATTATAATTATTTAAGCTTATTTTCTACTCTCTTAACTAAAGGTATCTTTACTTTATAGTACTTATTATATTATAGTAGTTAGTATTCTTTCTTAATAAATAGTTTAATAAACTTATAATACTTTTTTAGTAGTCTCTTAAGAATTTTAGTAAGTTCTTTCTTATAAACTTTCTTTAGCTTTTTTAGTTATATAGCTAAATCTTTATTTATTATTTTTATTTTATAGGTCTTAGATCTTAAAGCTATTACTTTATTCTTTTTAGTAGGCTCTAGTAGGGTTTTCCCTAGTACTTATATAGTAACCTAGATCTATATATTTTATTATCTTTCTTTCCTAGTTCTTAACTAATATTCCTTAATCTAAATATTTCTAGTTATCTAGTTAATAGTTAGGTTTTATATATATAACTATATTATTTTAATAATACTATTATAGAATCCTTACTCTATAGTTAGTACTACCTTAAATTTAAGATTTTCTAAATATTCTCTACTATTAAACTATACCTTATCTATTATAAGTACTAGTATATTATATAATAGTTTTCCTTTAAATCTATAGATTCTTAAGTTATATCTAGCTAGTTTTATTAGTATATTATTATTACTAATAAATCTTTTACTTAAGAATTATTCTAAATATCCTAAATCTAGTAAGATTCTTATATTATACCTATTTAATTTTATAATAATTATAATTAATTTATTATTTTTTATAGAAAATAGATTTATTTCTTTCCAGTACTATTTATAGTATTATTATAGAATATTATTCTAGTTCTATAGTTTAAACTTTTCTTTTTTATAATAGAATATATAGTTCTTAATCTTATAATTATAGCTACTAAGTCTTATATAATTTAGATATTCTTATTCTTCCTTTATATAGTTATAGTTATCTTTTCTAAGAGAATATCTAAAATTAGGTCTTAATAGTACCTTAGGTAGCTATAGTATCTAGTAATACTTAAACTTATACTAGTAATATTAAGTATAATCTTTATTATAATATTCTATCTAATATATTTCTTAGTATACTTTCTTACTTAGCTAAGAGTAATATCTATAAAAGTATTAGTATATATAATCTAGAATTTTACTATATAAACTAGTTTCTTATTTATTTAATATTAACTTTTCTATATTTAGGATATTCTAAGAATATCTAATCTCTATATTATTTATATTTTAAGATATAATCTTATTATATTTTTTCTAAATCTTCCTAGTAGGTTATATAAGCTAGTTTATAACTATAAGGTTCTTTATTCTTAATATTATTTTTAAGTAGGGTTTCTATCTAAGTTTTATAAGTCTTATAATAACTTATAACTATTTTATTACTAATCTAAATTATTAAAGGATCTTAGTAGAACTTCTTTAAATCTAGGATCTTATAATTATTTATTAATCATACTACTCTCTAATTTTAGTATATAAAGAGAGGGTTTTCCTATATTAATACTCAGCTATATCTCTTATTAAAGCTTATAGAGTGTCCTATTATACTTTAGCTTAATATTTTTAATAATTTTTCTAAGACCTTTAATACTAGTCTCTTCTTTCTAGATTCTATATATCTTATTATACTTAGTTATCTATTTATTAACTTAGTTATTAGGATGGATTATATATTTAAGTAGTATACTAGATACTTCTTCTAGGCTAATATCTAGGGCTAGTATTATATTTTCTTATAGTTATTCTTCTTTAAGTATTCTAAGTATTATTTACTTTAATTCTTATACTATCTTAATTACTTAATTTATATTACTAACTATATCTTTGGTTTTCTTTAATTCTTTAGTAATAGTAAGGGTAAGTTATTTAAATCTATAACTAAGTACTTTATAAATAAACTTATCCTTTTTTAGGTATTATACTATTTTATTTTTAGGGATTTCTTCTATAGTATCTATTTTATTCCTATTATTATTTATTATAGTAGTAATTAGTTTAGTTATTATAAAGGTAGTATTAATTTAAGAGTTATAAGTAGCTAGTCTATTCTTCTTATACTTTAATTAATAGTCCTTTTTTATATATCTAATTTTTTTATATCTATAATACTTTCCTTTAAAGTATTATTTCTTATATAGTCTATCCTTCTATTTTCTAATGATAATAGCTATATTTATTTCTATATTTCTATCTTAATCTTATCTAATCTTCTTATTATTACTAAACTACTTATATTACTTCTACTAGTCTATCTATTATTTATATTATTAGTTCTTAATCTATAATATAGTATTAATAAGTTTATCTAAGTTATCTAGTTAGTTATTAATAAAAGTAAGTATATCCTTAGTTTTATCTTAAAGTCTAGTATAATACCTAGATACTTATATAAGGGCTTTATCTCCCTATTATAGATTAGATATAATCTAATAAAACTTAGTAGTATATTCTCTAATATTTATCTTATCTTAGTATAGGTTAGTGATTTTTAATTCTATAGTTTATCTACTAGTATCTAGGTCTGTAAAGGCTTTAGTAATCTATTTTTTAAATTCTTTATAATCTCTAAAGATCTTCTTTATAAAGGTTTCTATTATATAGTAGTATTCTTATTATAGTTATATATATATAGCTTAAACTATATAAATACTAATTCTCCTAGGTATATTCCTATAAATATAATCTTATTATATTTATTTACTCTATCTAAGTTATTAATCTTAATATATATATCTATAGAGGTTAGATAACTTCTAAGAGTTAAATACTTATCTTTAAATACTTTAGCTTTATTTACCTTAATCCCTTTAAATATTTTAGCTAATAGATCTTTATAAGTAGATAATTAATAGCTTATTTAAGCTAAGTAATCTTCTCTATATTAGTAAGAATAGGGGTTATAAGGTTCTCCTTAGAAGCTAAAGTAAGCTATACTACTTTACCTTTACTATTACCTATAATAATAGTAGATATGTCTTCTTCTTAATTAAAATAAGGGTCTATTATTATTAGATAAGCCTTATTATTCCTGCTTAGGACTAGAGGTCTTAAGGTATTCTTAAGTTAAAATAAGAAGACTACTTCTTAACATACTAAGAAGGATAACTAGGTTCTAAAAGGTAGGGTAGCTTAGATTCTAAGGATAATAGATAGTAGCTAAAACTAATTATATATAATAACAAGTGTCCTTAAATACTATGCTTCTATCAGACCCAGGGTCTAATCAGGTCAGATTGCTGGTCCGCTGAAGGTCATCTTATAGGGTTAGCATCAGATCCACGATCTGATCGTAGTCCCAAACTAGTCTAGCATTAGACCTCCAATCTGTTCGGCTGGAACATCCCAGATTCCAGTTCCTGACGTGACATTTCATCAACAACGTGATGTCCCGTCATCACCGTAATCTCACCAGGCAGATCCATTGGTCGACAACGTCCCGTCCCTTAGCGCGGCTCTCTGACACTAGGGTCTAATTAGGTTAGATTACTAGTCTGCTAAAGGTTATCTTATAGGGTTAGTATTAGATCCATGATCTGATCATAGTCCTAAACTAGTCTAGCATCAGACCTTTAATCTGTTTGGCTGGAACATCCTAGATTCTGGTTCCTGACGTGACATCTTGTTAACAACGTGATGTCCCGTCATCACTGTAATCTTACCAGGTAGATCTATTGGTCGACAACGTCCCGTCTCTTAGCGCGGCTCTCTGACATAGAGAAATCTAATAAATATTTATTATAAGAAGATTAATGAGAAATTTAGCAGTATTTTAAAAGTAACATAGTGGCCAACTTGCTATATCAAGAAATTTGGTGTGTCTGAATTTGGTATAGCCAGGCCTTACTCTACGCGCAAAAAGCAGTGGTCAGGGGTACCCAAGGATTCACGACGCACGCATGGGACCAGACCCCACTTACCCCGCCACTGGCAGAAGGTCAAAAATTTTGAACAATCTACAACAGACATCAGACAGACAGATTCAGTCATAATTTCTCAACTCGGTGGTTTACTCCACTCAAAACGACAGTATATATCTACCTCCTCCGGAATTTGAGCGGAACTGGCCAACAAACATCCATCTCTATTTCACCGCGAGTTTCATACATCTGTGGCACCATGGTCTTGGAAGCAATCAGGTACAACGATGGCAAGCTGTCCATCATTGACCAATTGCAGCTTCCATTCGTTGAACAGTACTTTGAGATAAGAACGAGCGAGGAGGGATGGCAGGCCATAAAGAAGATGCAAGTTCGAGGGGCACCTGCCATTGCCATTGTTGCGGCTCTCTCACTGGCATCAGAACTCCAAGGACTTCTCACAGAGAACAAATTACCCCCCAGGGCAGAAGAGGTTGAAGCATTCATCATTGAGCGGTTGGCGTATCTCGTGAGCAGTCGACCCACGGCCGTAAATCTTAGCGATGCAGCCCGCAAGCTCGAGGCAATTGTGTCCAAAAAATCGAAAACACCCGAGTCAACCCCGCAAGAAGTTGCGGGTGCTCTCATCCAAGCCGCGGAGTCAATGTTGGAAAAAGATGTCGAGGATAACACAAGGATTGGCGATAATGGTGCCAAGTGGATAGTGGCAAATGCTCTGTCATCACAAGGTCAAGACGCTACCGTTTTGACGCACTGCAATACGGGGTAAGTCTACTACAGACTCCTTTCGGCGGACAGATTGACTGACTTTGGCGGTAATACAGCTCACTCGCGACCGCGGGCTACGGTACAGCATTAGGGGTCATTCGTTCTCTACACTCAAGTCATGTTTTGAAGCACGCTTACTGCACTGAAACGAGACCGTACAACCAAGGATCACGCCTAACGGCGTTTGAGCTTGTTCATGACAATATCCCTGCCACTCTAATTACGGATTCGATGGCGGCAGCGTTGCTCGCTAGAAACGAGGGTCGTGTGAATGCGATCGTCGTAGGCGCTGATAGGGTGGCTGCGAATGGGGATACCGCAAACAAAATCGGTACATACGGCCTCGCAGTGCTTGCTAAATATCATCGAGTGAAATTCCTTGTAGCGGCACCCCTCACGACGATAGACCTAGCAACAAACTCCGGAGACAACATCGTCATTGAAGAGCGACCGGCTTCTGAAGTAACAAGGATCAAAGGGTCACAGGAAGATGATGCTACTGGCGATTCGAGACTGGGCACGGTTCAGATAGCTGCCGATGGAATCAACGTCTGGAACCCTGCTTTCGACGTTACGCCGGCAGAGCTGATTGATGGCATCATAACAGAAAAAGGCGTTGCGGAAAAGGGGGCGGATGGTCGATTTCATTTGGAAGGGCTTTTCGAGTGAGTGGGGTTTGATGTAGAAGTGCCCGAACGACGTTCGCCAAGCGATTGGGGATCTGGACCAGCGCCATTATTCTGCGATCCATCGAGTATGCTGTTGATCTTGCTTTCGAGATCACCCAGTTGCTTTTCCAGCATAGATGCAGCTTGTTCCCCACTGCAAGACACTGTCAAATCCCTTCTTCGATTTCGCAGGCTTAGATGACGCATACCTGGAAATATCCTTTAGTATCTGTACATGATGGAATCGTTAGTAGCTTTCTTCCAAGGTTCAATGCTGGAAGTCAAAGTATCGTCGGCGCGCTCAATAGAGCCCAATTTAGTATATCACTCACTTCTGCAAGATCAAGGCCGAATGCCCTGTTATTATTCCCGGTTGACTCTGGCATGACGCAGGGGAGCCTCCTGACTAGTGGACGATGGATGCAAGGCTTTATAAAGTCCAGACTTTCCCAACTTGGCCACCATTTGCGAAACACAGGTAGGTGAAAAGGGCATGAACTTAGGTTTTGATTGAAACTTGAGATCAGATGGATTTGTGTTCAAGGCACGCCGCTCGACTGTCTCCGTACTAGGGCAATACGGAGTAGTAGGTAAGCCACCGCAATGGGGATCGGGTCGCTCCAGTGCGCCCCACCAGCGAGCCCTTGGTCGTCTGTACTCCGGAGTACAATCCTACACATACTACTTTCGTATACGTTACTAACTCATAGTTCTAAAAGCGGCTTCCGTGGATTGCTTAGGTTATGGCCACCAGGCCATCATTGATGTGGAGCAAAACCCTGCTCAACCCAACCTAGCTGTCGGACGGGTTTCTGCTATCCGAGCAAAGAGGAGCAGCTGAAGAGACGCCAACATGGTCGTCTCACCTTCGTCTCATCTTCGTGTCATATGATCACGGCTGTCTAATTCCCATCGCTCCCCAATCATCAGTAAGTAGGCCGATAATAAAGGAATTGATCACACCTTCTCGCAGGAAGGGCGGGTACTTTACCCCGCATACAGCCCGAAGCTATGAGGTCATGAGCCTGTTACCTAAGACCTTCTCAGACGAAGAGACACCTGCTGGGGTTCAATGACTGTCAAGTAATCAAGTCTGCGAGTTAAGCTGGCTATCACTGTCCTCTTTTCACTCAATCCAAACAGAGAGCTGTCACGCATATTCTCTTAGTCAACTGGTATGAGTTCTTTTCTCTTATACTACCCAGTATCCACCCCGCAAGGACCAGAGGGCAGAGGATAGAAGAACAGAGAGGCATTAAGCACGCGCGAGTGACTTTATGAACAAGCAACAAGCTGCATTTCCCAGTTACCTTAATAAGCTGTCGCTCGGATTCTTCTTTTCCACTTATAGAACGCAAAGTTTGCGTTGCTGTGCCACTAGACATTTGATACCGAACCATTCAAGGAAGCGCAGTAATCATATGACCTCCCTCGAAGCCGAACATCTATACCAGTCATTCATCTCCTCTTCCTTGTCTCTCCACATCCTCACTGAGCTCGATCTTCTTGACACATTCTGCTTCACAGCTGATGAACCTATCCAGGAGTCAAGCAGAGTACTCTATCTCCGCGACCAACTGCACACAGAGCGACTCACTTGATTAGTCCAAAGAGTGCGTACTGCGGTTGATAGTCCTTTTTATGATCCCGTATTTCTGCTATAACTTCACGACACTGTTCAACTCTAGGCAGTTTACACTCCCTTACGTCAATCGATACTGCATTGAGTGGCATTGATTGTTTCTTGTATCACTGACCGGCTCGCAGTGACACGCTCACACAAAGTCAATGATCGTGACCACTCTACCCCGAGCGGCGTGACCGCTCCCAGCGAGAATATACCTCGTTATTTTGCGAAGTCTGGCCCTGTCGATGCTGATCCTCGAAAGACCAAGAAGAATGGGGGAGGTAAAGGAAACTGGTGGGCTTCCCATTCACTGTTCCCGCCATCAGCCTATTTGAGTTCCATGTCGCGGTCACCCGATAGACTTTCGGTTCCTACGCTGCGAGATCTGGCTAACCTTCTCTTTCCAGGGGACGATCCGGCGAGGAAGTCCAAGATTATGCATACACTTTCATGAACACCCGGCGCCACTCGAATAGCAGTCTTCAGGGAATCTCGGGGTTCAAGACCAAATTTGAGACTGTCGAGCCTGAACCAGTCTTTGAAGAAGATCTGCATGGCCCAGTGACCCAGACTAGCATTGATGGGGAACCAGTGATCAAAGTCGATAGTGCTAGTAGCGGGGTGAGCGGCGAGATTGACAAATCTGGTGACAGGAACGTGGCTGCGGAGTAGATGGATGGATTTGCTATGATGTGTGCACGTTTCGACGTGAACAGGACTGGCATCCATCATCATCAAGAATAATATCGCTGGCTAAAGTTATTGAACACCCTTCGTCGCGCAGCTGCATACACAGTAAGATAGGTGTCTCTTCAGACCCTCGTGCTAAGTGATGTTCCCTGTCAAAGAGTAGATGTCGACTGAATTGCGAAATGTTTATTTACAATGTCGGACTGAATGCTTCGAATTGAGTCAGCTTCTTGATGTAGCGGATGCATGTACAGTAACCCGAGTCGAGATAGAGCGGTACGAGTATGGATTGAATTACTCTAAGATAGTTGCACTAATTCCGCCCCCTCTCTAAAGCCAGCTAAGCCGCTCTTTCCGAAACGAGCTTCCTGTCTCATTGGAGAAATCTTCTTTGAGTTCCGCATCGCTGACGGGCTGTGGAAGAGCTTCGGAGCTGATCGAATTTGTCGTTACTTTCTCCGCCGACGCAAGGAGGTTTTTGAACCAGAATCCAAGCCCCCCCTTTTCGATATACCTGTTGAGAATGGAATTCTCATGTTCAAGATCCTGAATGATCCGAGCTCGCTGCTCTGGACGAAAACGGGATGCTAAAAGGGCGGCGTCGGAGTCGTTCAGTAGCACCTCCTCTGGAGAAGTCGGAAGATAAAGCGGAGCAATATGACTATCCTCAGTTTGCCCTGCCATGGGATTAGTCTTTGGTACGATGAAACCTCCTTATGCGGGAAACCTACTGTCTTTGAGGCAGAGAACAAGGGTACGGAACAGTGATGTCGTGTAGAAGAGCGTTTCAGAGTCGCTACCCATCTGCTCAACTGCCTTGCCTGTAGCATCCCAGTTATCACCAATTACGCACCTCCGCCACACGAGTTTTTGGAGAGCAAGGCTATAATTCGGATCGCCTTTAGCGTAGAGACCAAGTCGAACAACACGCAGGGCGAGATAAAATTCCCTTCCAGAGAAATCATTCTGGCCAGAGTCTGAGTCCTGACCGAGGTCCATTAGTGTCAATAGATCGACGAGTTGGTCGAGGCTCATGACTCTTCGAGACACCACCCCAGCCAAAGCCTCTCCAAGTAACTCATGTAATGAAGGCCGGTCTTCAGCAATCGAGATCGCGAAATGGTCAATTGCTAGGTCGATTTCGGCCTTTTCATCGATGGCGCCTTGCAATATAGGCGAGATGTGTGCGTATATTACTTCTTGAACAGCACCCATCTCAGCAAGGTCCTCAAGGCGTTTGACATTGTCCTGCACGGGCTGGGATTTCGAAGCACCCTGCTTCTCCCACGTTGCTAAGTTGGCGAGCTTTGCCAAAGAAAGTTCGACTCGGTGACTCCAGATATCCTGCTCTTGTTCAAGTGCTAGGTTCTCCAATGCCTTAGCAGCGGATTCGTAGTTGGCGTCGCCGACTACATCATTTATCCAACTAAGCTTTGAATAAGCGGGATTCTTGTGCAAGAACCGAGTGACGAAGGGCTGGAATTTTGCCATCGAAAACAGGATCCCGGATTGACCCATTGAAATCTGCCGAGTAAAGAAGGCGTCAGCCCATGAGTCGCCAAACTTCTCGAAATATTGCGTTATTTTCATTTCGAGTTCCGTAGACGCCGTCTGACTGCTACTAGAAGAGTCTTCAGAGACGTCTTGAGCGAACATAACGCCCTTTCTTTGGTCTTGAAGTTCAATAATGAGCTCTACTAGAGCAGTCATATCCCTGAAACCCTCGGCAATGTTTATAGCGTCATCCAATTGTCCGATGCCCGCTAATTTGAACAGATGCCACCTTCGCTGCTTAGTGTGTGACTGCTTGATGGCGATAGCTTCGTCAACCAGCTTCTGATCTTCTTGGGCCGAAAGCCATCGTGTGCGTTCCAGGTGCATTTGACCTAGAACCCGGAGATGCCGAGCGCTGTTCCGCGCGACCTTCCTAATAAGTTGCGGGTCAGATGTATCGGTGCCTGTTGACGCCTGTATCCACGCCCTACAGCTCTCGAGCTCCACCTCCAACAAGTGTCCTGTTTCAGAATAACTGATGCTGTACGAGGTCCAGAATTCTGGGAGGTCTTCATAACCGGTTATCAAGACTCCGTCTTCCAAGTAACCGTCTCCTATCCCAAACCTGCTCGCATGTTCATCTCGGTATTTGAATGCTGTCTCCAACACCGCCAAAGAGAGCTCACTTGCCTCTAGTATGTGTTCCGACATTCGGCGCAGTTGTTTTGAGGCGTTGCCTTTTTGAGGTTTTATCGCGTGGAAAATCCAGGGTACGATGTGCTCCATTCGATAGGTGTCGTATAGAAACCAATGGCGTACTGGATCACTCAACTCACCCCGTTGCTCGGGCTTCGTTTTGAACTTATCGCTCATTGATGACAGAACATGGGCAAGGAACGTCGGCCCACTGAGTTTGGATTTTCTGGCGCTCTCTTCCAATTTCCAGATTGCCCTTTGGGCCGCAATTTTCTCTGCGCTCCATAATAATTCCCACCAGATGCGACGGTCAAGAATTTTATTCTGTTCCAGCAAGAGGCGGCAAAGATCATCCAGGGCCTTTGCGCGCAGCTTCAGATTCTGATCAACAGAGATGGCTGTGGTTGGGATGAATTTTGAGGAGGACCGGAGTAATCCTCGGCAGATTTCCACAGTGGCTTCCTCAATCTCCTTGATAGGGAAGTTCAGATCGCCTTTACTTGACAGATTGAGCGGGTTCCCTAGTAGAGTACCGTAGAAGACCGCTTGTTCAAGCTTGTGCTGAGCAGTGATCTGTGCATTTTCCGAACAGCTTGCAGCTTCCTGCCGAGGAAGAGCTGAAATGCGGATGACACCAAAGTCTCGAATCATGACCAAACAGGCAGGAAACGAAACACCGTCACCTTCATCTTCGAATCCAGTACCTAAGATCTCGTACTCCTTTCCAGAACGAAAGTTGATTGAATCATGAAAGGACTGGGGTTGCCCATTGTCAATGAGTAGTTGCGAACTGGGTGATGCTCCGACGCCCACTAATGATAGCAATATGACCGATTGACCTAGCACGATGAACGCTGTTTCACCAGGCCGTGGAATAAATAGACGAGGTCGCAAATCTTCTATGGCCGTGGGTATTGTATGCGGACTGATAGGGTTGGTGGATGAGACGCAAATGCTTTCCGAGAGACTCAGCTGGACAACAAATATGCCGCGAAGATTTGACCCGGAGAATAGGCCCACCAAGACTGCAACTTGCCACGATTGCCCGCTGTCTCTCTGCTGATCATCGAGATTTTGTTTGTGAGTAGAAAACGCGAGATCCCAGACTTTTACATCACAATTATCATTCAGGTCCAGGCTGTGTACTGTGAGAGACCTACGCAGGTCCTCTTTGATGTCGAATTGCCTTTTCAAGATACTGCCGTTGTTCCAGTGTGTGTCCCATATCTCCACCAAACCAGCCGAGGTCGCAATTATGATATCTCGTTGTCCACGTTGGCAAGACTCGCCCGCACGCACTGCGGCGACTTTCTTTCTCCAGAACCCACCCCCAAGCACGTTTTTAATACCGCCAAAGAACCCGATGCCGCCACTGTTGGATGAATTCCTCAAAAAGTTCACAGTCACGGCTGGTTTACCTTGGGAGTCTCTCAAGGTCACATGCGCCACTCGTCCGGATGAGAATGTGACCATGACACCGGAAGGCTCTCCATTCACGATATCTGTGGCATATTCACCCGAGAGCAATCCCGAAATATGACCCTGGAGCCCTGTTTGCTTTTGTCTCGGAAGGCCTAGAGATGCGGCGCAAGACACAGTTTCCCAGTATATGATCCTTCCAGTATGAGGCATTAAGAGCATCAATCCCGGAATAGGGCTAGTTGCAGTAGATAAGATAACCCCAAGAGGTGCTATATCACTGGCATCACTGTACTTTTCAGGTATCGGAAGGCGAAACACGTCCGCTGGCGAGGGTGACGAGGTCAAGACCGAGTATGGCCAAATGATGGCCTCAGAATGCGTAATAACAAGCCCATACCCTTGACATGACGCGAAGTAACATCTGCTAGGCTCTGTTCCAGGGCGTTAATGGCTTACTGCATTCAAGACTATCGCCGAACGTACCTGGCTGAAGGCTACGGATCTGATCTGGAAGGGACGGCAGCTGTGACACTGTATAGAAATCTGTTTTGGACTAGCACGTAACCGCGTTAGCCGAAATAATGAGAAAGAGCTGAATACGGAGAAGGGTCCGACGAACTAATACGACGGGGTTGATGGTGTCACCCTTTCGCTTCTCGTGTTTCTTCGTCGTCCTTATCGGGATACTCCTTTGGATATCACCATCGCTCGTAAGTGTAGCGTCTGCATCACCTGGGCCAGTCGGGGTAGGGTGCTCCAACGATCTGTAATCAGGCTCGCGCTCTGTTAGGTCCGCAGTCTTGAAGGTCTCGTTTTGACGAAGAATTGATCGTTGCCTTTTAGCATTTGGTGGCTTTATAGACTCGCCAGAGCTTGTACGCTGGCGTCTTCGCGGGTTTCGTAGGGATGCTGCAGACGTTGCAGCTTTCGGCGCAAACATAGTCGTATCACACGCTAACGAGCTAGACGGGTTCAAAAGGTAGATCTCAGATTGATCTCGCACATTGGGGGAGAGCTAGCTTTGACACACAAGGTATATTCAGGCTGCTCGTTGTCTTGAATTGATCTTCTTGGTCATCCAGTGCCAGACAATGTTGTTGCTTTTACTTGAAGGCGGTCGGTCGCCAAAGTCAAAAATATTCACGAGCCGTAAAATCCGCCAATCATATTCAGCTAACGCTCGGCGGTGAGTGCCGTTAGCTAAAGCTCCAGGTCCGACCTTCATAGTGAGTATTCACAGATTGAAGTTTGAGTACCCAGTAATTGTTAGTATACGAAAAACATAAACTGTGTCTTGGTTTTAAACCTCGTAACCAGCGTCTCGCACGATTAGACGTATCATTTAATCATAGTCAAGGTCTAGCGGCGCAGCGTAGGAAAATCCTAATTTGCTATCTATATTAGATAGTTTATGAACAGGCTATATTGGTACTACGTAAGTTGTCGCAGATACATCCTTTGCCCGGAAGCTCAAAAGTTGAGTGACCCCATATCACCGAGGATGATGGATTAAGCACTACCGATCTCGACTCTGGAGGCCACCAGCACTAAACTGAACTAGTACATAGTGGGCTGTGGAGTTATTCCCCGCGGTTGTGGCATCACATGACCTTTGGCATCCGCAATGTGTTATTGCCATCTTCACGAACATCTCTGTCTGGGATTAGAGGGATGTTTTGCCTGCCTGTTGGCGCAGGTTGATACCAAGACCAGCAACTCATAATGCATACTCTTTGCCTCTTTCAATTATCTGTCTACGCTCATTCTCAGGACGCTCATTGCTCTTATCTATGACCTTCAGAGGATGTCTACATATTTAAGGAGAGGTGAGGATACGCCTTTCCTTAAGGTCACCTACCTCAGTAAACTGACCAGGCATAGGTGGTTGCTTTGGGGAAGCTCTACATCATGGCTTTTACAAGGCACCTTTTACTGCGAAAACCCAAACACGATGCGCCGCGAATTCTAATCCCACGAGGCCACTGCGCACTGCTCTCTTCTTTCCTGGTAAGTCATCCCTGTCTGCTTCTTACACTGCCTTACACATGGCTTACCTAAGTCAAGGACATGGAGTACAGAGAGTCGGAATGACGCGCCCGTGGATTGACGGCTTCCCGCACATTGCGAGCAGATTCCTCGACGAGATGGACTCCATTCTGGGATTCAATCTATCACGAATCATCGCCGAAGGCCCGAACTCGGAGTTGAATAAGACCGAGAACTCACAGCCTGCCATAATGGCAACGTCCGTGTTAATCCTCCGCATACTAGAATCGAAATTCGCCTTTGATACAAAGGCACGGGTGGATGTAACGCTTGGGCATAGTTTGGGGGAATTCTCCGCGTTGGTAGCAGGAGGGTATATCCGCTTCAGTGATGCTTTGAAATTGGTTCGGCGCCGAGCTGAAATCATGTCTCAGTGTACAAAACAGGCTGCTAGTGAAAGCGGCGAAGATTATGGAATGATCGCACTGGTGTGCGAACCAGAGCACATGGATGGACTGCTGAATACTATTAACGAATTCTTGAACCCTTCACCATCTGACTTTCACGACGATTCCTCGAATTTCGGCTTGCCGCCAATCCAACAAGTGGTCATCGCAAATATCAACTCCAAAAACCAAATAGTTCTCAGTGGCAGCATTGAGAAAATCAGGACTCTTCTGATCCAACTACGCCAGTTTAGCGGTCATGATCCCCGCGCAGTGAGATTGAAAAGCGAAAGTCCATTTCACAATCCTATAATGGCACCAGCCGCAGATTACATGAGGAGCGCCCTGCGCGAAATTCCCATCACTTTCCCCGCGGATATACCCTGTGTGTCCAATATATCGGGGCGCCCATTTGCTTCAAAAGACAGACTACGGGAATTGCTGTCCCAACAATGTGTTGATACCGTGAAATGGTGGGATAGTATCCGGTATCTAGATCAGGAGCGAGGGGTAAAGCGTTGGATCGGAGTTGGCCCAGGGAAAGTTGGTCGCAATTTGGTCGGGAAAGAGGTAGGTAGGGTAATGGCTAAAGGGGGTGGCGTCTGGGCTATCTGCGATGCTCGGGATGTCGAGGATATTCTTGTGGCTCTGGAAGACACAGAACGTGAGATGGTGCCTGAATGAGCTTGGTCTTGAACCTATTAGTGATACCATGTGCATAGCTTGTCTTAGTAAATATTCTGCTACCGGTCATCATACATCTTTGTTGGTGTTATATTGTATATCACTCAAAGTACTAGTCCAGCAGCCCTTTGCTGGTAGGCAAACTTTTAGTATAAAGACCGTTAACAACCTATACATGCCCATGCTACCGATGATGACAGATTTAGATGGTCACGCCGTGTCGTTGTAATATATCACGACGTATGCTCGCTTCGACGCGACACATTAACTAGCAACATAGGGCTTATTGGGGTATAATACATTCGAAAGCTAGGAGCATAACGCTAATTCTACTGCCCTAAGGACGAGAGGTGTAGGGACCAGGCAATAGTTAAGAAGATAATACTGGGGTATCCTCGTACATCGCACCTTCGGTGCTCAGTACTCAGGGCGAGAGTCTTATAGACTAGTAGCGCCGGGCGTCCAGGAACTTCCTATTCGGTTGACCTCGGCGATGAACTTCTGGTCCGTAATATGCGATAACTTCGCAGCCTGTAGAGCCCCGTTGGTCATGGTGGTATGGCTATCCGGGGAATAAAAGGGATTTTGCAGAAGTTGTATATAAGCAGTTTGGAGCGCTCGAAAGGCCTGCGAGATGTTAGCAACCCTGGACTTTTCGAACGTGCAGGTCCAGAAGCAGACGGTGAGAAGAATCTGGAAAGTAGTATCAAAGTGCCATGACTCTGGAGAACATACATGTTTTAGATCTGATTCCCTAAAGTTAGGCCGTGTAGCCCCCCGAGCGTCGTTGGCATCCTGGTCACCGATAAAGTCAACAACGATGATGAATTTGATACCAGTAGTTGTCAGCCAGCCATAAGATGCTAGCCGCTCATCAACGGCATGGAGTAGCCCAAGATCCTGATCGATAGAGGTCTGCTTCTGGCGTATTTCAAATATATCAAGAGAGGAGTTCAATAGAAACGAGAACTCAATGGTCGCATTCAGATACGGCGGGAAAAGGGACAAATGCAGCGGGTTGTCCTTTGAAGACGTCAGCTCTCAGCTCTGTGTGAGATGCAAGGCATTATCCTACGCTCTTTCCGATAACACCAATACAGGCGATTTTTGGTCCTGACATTGTTACATGAGAGGGTCTCTTCCTTTCATGTACCTCTCTGCAGACAAGACACAGTGTCACGCCCGGACTTGAGATGTTTATTGTACTGATACCAAGAAAGCAAGGCAATAACAGTAGGAAGCTTGGAATCTCTTTATGTACGTGTTAGTGTTCTGCGATCTGGCTGATATTACAGAGTAAGATGACTAGTGACCAGCCACTGTTCTTGTGCGTGCGGAGCCTTGCCGCCCTAATCAAAAAGCAGCGCTGGTTTAGGTTGAGGGTTCGAGATTGAGCCACTAGTATCCCGCAAGCCCTGAAAATACTGGAACATCTCTTGACGCTTGATAAGCTAACATATATGCATTGTAGGTACCTAAGAAGGTGTTCATCCTCCCTATCAATGATAGGAGTAGCACGTAGCTGGTGTTTGATCACATTAGTGTGCTGCCCAATGAAAGCTCCAGTCTTTGTAATTCCCCAGCCACGCTTCCACAGTCCACAGGTAACTAGCTAGGTTCGGGAGTCCACTATGACCAGTAGCGCAGGAGAATCTTTGGAGCAGGACTAACCTTTTGTCCGTCAATTCGCCTCCAATCAATTAGAGAATCAAGCCCCATGGTCTCCCCAATTCCCTAAAGACCTCGCTTACTTCTGACAGTCCGGACATATACCTAGCGACATTCTCAAGATGCTGTCACTATCGGGGCGTGCTCTCCCACGCACCCTTCGTGGTATGTATTCGCATTATCGCCATTGGTCACTCCGCTCATCACGTCCGATAGTGCTTCCTGATCAAGCGCTGTGCGCCTCTCGACTTCCCCGAGTCGCTCTTTTGTCGACATCCTCAACCAAAGCTGCGACGGCTCTCGAACAGCGGGGCAATGCTGGACTGACTGCCTCCGGCAAGGCCCGGAGGGAGGTGCCCTTGCCGAGCCAGGAGAAGAAAGAGGGCGCGATGCAATATGTCCTGTGTGTGGTCTTGATGCGATTGTTCTACTGGGAAATTGTTGACTAATGGCATGTTAACAGGACGACACTTGACCAAGTTGCGAACTGGGCTCGCCAGAGTTCTCTATGGCCCATGACCTTTGGACTTGCCTGCTGTGCCGTCGAGATGATGCACCTGTCCACACCCCGGTACGATCAGGATCGTCTCGGTATCATTTTCAGAGCCTCGCCTCGACAATCCGATGTCATGATTGTCGCGGGTACCTTGACGAATAAGATGGCACCGGCCCTTCGACAGGTATATGATCAAATGCCCGATCCTCGGTGGGTTATTAGTATGGGAAGCTGCGCCAACGGTGGCGGCTACTACCATTACAGCTACTCTGTTGTCCGCGGCTGCGACCGGATTGTCCCTGTTGATGTCTATGTTCCTGGTTGTATGTTGGTCCCCTCTTTCCACTTGCGCTCGCTTTGCAACTAACGGTTCCATCAAGGCCCGCCTACTTCGGAGGCGCTGATGTATGGAATTTTCCAACTTCAGAAGAAAATGCGGCACACAAGGATAACCCGCATGTGGTACCGGCGTTGATTTTCTTTCTCTCTTTTAAAGAGTTTTGTCTGGTTAGCATGGGGACTCGTGGTCCAGAGATTGCGATGTGACATTAGATTTCTTTTACCAAGGTTAATGTACAAATTTCGCCCATTGCTATTGCAAAGGCCGTTCATACACTCCGGCGCTGATGTGATTCTGGGTTAATGGTATCTTGTATTGGGCCCGAGTAAGCTGTCCGTGATGGTTGCTTCGCGGTGGCAAGACGACGCCGCAGAGTACTTAGCCCTATCCATTGAAGCTTTAAGAAATGACTAGACAACGGAGATACAATGATGCTCCTTTTGGGACGTTGAGAAAATATCTGTACCGTGGATATCCATGATTGAGCAGTCAATATGTGGAGGCGATTATAAGACTACCATCTTGGACCTCGGCGAGGACACTACTACTATTAAGGTTAGCTTCTCTTTCTGCCACCACTCCTAAAGTGGCTAGCCGAATAATTCTGCTACACTTTTTTTTCTCTCTAGTCAAGGCGGTGGACTTGAAATCACCAAGTTTTCAAGATGACCGATGAACAGATCTTGTTGATCAGTTGAGCGAGGGCTGCATTGTCATTCTGATTAAAAGAGTTTTTCTTTTCCTTGATAGCAATTCCCGACACCCCACGATGCCGCTGAGTAATTCTACTCTGGGTGAAGACCCAGCTTATGTACCTCTCAACTTGGCCCTCTCAACACCCTGGGACTTTCTTCGTCCCAATAAAAAACTGCGAACAGGAATATTGGATACCGCCAAATACTATCTGGACTCACTTGCTGTTTCCGTCAGCGACTCCCAAACTACCCGACAGCGAGACAATAGAAAACGGAAACGATCCGGAGCTGAGGACGACGTTGCAAATGTTCTACAGTTGAAACAGCTATATGTTGATGGATTCAGTTCGGACCAAATCTGGGAGCAAGCTTTACGTATCTTTGATTCAACGGACCAGGAAATCGAGCGCGACTGCTCACTATGGGCTCAAAGCATAGATCAGCCTGCCAGCGAGCCGTCGCAAAATTCAATGTCTTTCGATGGTGTATCGCAAGATGAAGACATGGAGGATGACAGCTCTGCCAGCGGCTTGGAGGGCAGTCTGGACGGATCTGATCATGACCAGATTGAGGAGGAAGAGTTGAACTCTGAAGCAGAGATCTCCCAGAGCGGCAGCGAGGAAGAGGTATCAAACGAAAGCGACGCCGACGAAAATGCCGGTAACGATGCCACCTATGTCGAGGATCGGTTCGGCTTGAATGATGGGTTTTTCTCTATCGACGATTTCAACAAACAAACCGAGCTTTTCGAAAGACAGGATGCCCGGGGTGACGTGGATGACGAAAGCGATGAGGAGGAAGTTGATTGGCACGCGGACCCTATGGGTGCAGGAGCATCGAGTCTTTCGTCCCAGAAACAGACCCACAAGTTTGACGGCAGCATGAGTGAAAGCGACGAGGAGGACGGCCCGACTTTCGACAACATAGGGGCAGACTCAGAGTCCGATCTAGAGGAAGATGATTCTCCCATCTCTGCTCTTGGGGCGGGTTTCTCCAATACGAGCGATATTATGTATGCCGATTTCTTTGCGCCCCCGCCCCGTAAAGCGTCGAAGAAAAGATCACGTCTACTACCTAAAACACAACCGACTGAGATATCTGAAAATGATATTGATCGTGCAATGGCGGATGTCCGACGGGACCTGTTTGATGATGAAGAATCCGCAGAAGAAAGCGAAGACGAGTCAAGAAAACCAGAATCTTCCCAAACAAGTCGGTCAACGCACGAAAAGCAGCGCTCCCGCATCGCAGACGAAATTCGTCGCCTGGAAGCCGCCAACGTCGCGAAGAAAGAATGGATGTTATCCGGAGAGGCTAGGGCGGTAGAAAGACCCATGAACTCACTCATAGAAGAAGATTTGGATTTTGAAAGGATTGGAAAGCCGGTTCCAGTGGTGACCACAGAGCTGTCGGAAAGTATCGAGGAGCTGGTCAGACGGCGAATTATTGCCAAAGAGTTTGATGAAGTTATACGTCGCCGGCCTGGCTTGCCAGACAGGCAGAGCGCCCAGAAGGCGCGAGTTGAACTCGAGGACGGCAAACCCCAACAGAGTCTTGCAGAGTTATACGAAACAGATCACCTCCGGGCTACAGATGCGAACTATGTCGACCCCAAGAGCCAGAAACTTTTAAAAGAGCATACCGAGATCACCAATCTCTGGCGAGATATCACCTCCCAGTTGGATACACTTTCTAATTGGCACTACAAGCCCAAGGCACCACAAGCAAGCATCAATGTGGTTACTGATGTCGCAACGATCACAATGGAGGATGCGCAACCCACTGCTAGTGGCGCTGTACGTGCATCGGCGGCGCTCGCACCTCAGGAGATTTACGCTCCTGGCGAGACTGCTAGGACAACCGGCGAGGTTGTAATGAGAAATGGGGTGCCGATCACGAAGGAGGAGATGTCTCGGGAAGACAAGGCCAGGTTGAGAAGGCGGCAGAAGAAGCAAAGCCAAGCCTCTGCTGAGCAGACCAAGCAACGGTCTGGCAAGGCGGCCGAGAAGCAGCAGATTGTGTCGGATCTCAAGAAGGGAGGTGTTAAGGTGATTGGAAAAGGAGGTGAAATGACGGATCTCGATGGGAGCAAGGTTACTGGAAAGGGCGATAGGAGTGGCGCTCATGCCATGAAATTATAGTTCTTCATCTCAGAGCGGTTGAGAGGCTTGAGTACCTCCGCCTCGAGAAGCAATAAATCCGTATGCTATATGTATTGATGCCTACGCAGGCCCCGCCGTTCCCACTATTCATGAGACACCCCCTTATCTCTAGCATCTAGCAATATTTTTGCTGTTGGTGCCCAATTTTGAACGGATAGCGTAAACAAAGATATTCTCTCGCTTATAGGTTTCCGCATCTGGGTCATCGCTGATTTCGGAGAGTTGGAACGCTTTTTTGGCGATCTTCAAGAATCGTAGATCTGCCCGTCTGCGTTTCTTGAAGCAAAAGTAGCAAACTGAATCGGGACCTAGAAGCTCGTGCAGGGTCGATATTAGAAGAGGGAAGGCGGGTTCAAAGTAGACGCAGTCAGCGGCGAGAATGATGTCTGGGTGCTTTGGAATAATATTCGGAATCGGTTCGCCCCAGTCTAGGACCGCAGCCTGTACAGTAGAAGACAGGCTATTGAGCACGATATTTGCTTCCATAAGAGAGAGCATTGGCGATTGATCTGTGATGTAGATGGGAGATGGGCCGATTTTACACCCAGAAGCAATGGCTAGACCCACGAGCCCACCGCCAGCTCCAAGCTCAACACTGCATTCCACGAGTTAGTAAACAGTTGGATCTCCAGGCCATCAGATGAGGCCATGTTCATCTGTTGTATAGTTCGACAGCAGAAAGGTCAGAAGGAGGTGATAGAAGAACGGACATTGTCTTATCAACGAGCGTTGACTGATGTCGACGAAGGAGATATTTGGCGAGAACCATGCCAGCAGGCCAGAGCTGGCCGCCACATCCTTCCTTCAGGTCCTCCTTGAGCAGCAGAGGCTGTTGTAGAAGCCCGTCAAAAGAAACCTGGCTCTGACCTGCTGTTTTGAGTTCTCTTGGTGGCACCAAGGACTCGCTTATATTAAAGGTATCATTGGAGTTGGCCGAACCCGGGCGGCTCGAGTCCGACATAAAGGAAAAGACTCGTGGAAATGCCTTTGTAAGATTTTGGGAAGTCTGAGATGAAAGATGCTGGGTTATTTTTTTTCACGATTTCCAGAAACCTTCCATTGTCCCCTCCAAAACGAAGCACAAATTCAATGCGTGTGCGTTGTTCCTATTGGCTGAACTCCGATAGAGGCTTAGCTTGGGCGGAACCTTCCATTGCAGGCATCGAGCCACCTGCATGGGTCTACTACTACTAGTAGGGGAACAAGTTCAAGGTTCACCATGCTCGCCTTGAGCACCTAATGATGCTAGATAGGACGTCGTGAGAAAGGGTGACGCTTGGGACAGCTGGTACAGCAAGGAAAGAAAGGGCCACCACGGCATTGCAATCCAAGTCTTCAGCCACAATTGGCAACAGGTGCGATCGACAGGCCACCTGGGCAGGCAGAGAGTCTGGCCTTTTCCTGCAAGTCACCACAGCTTTTCAGGCAATCTGACGTCATACTGGCTTTCCTCCACATCATGAACCCCCAAGCCCACATGGTCAGCCCAGATCATTGGTTTAGAACTAGCTATGCGCTCCCCAGTCCCAAATTACCCCTTCAACTCCTCCTTTGAATCATGACGACGTCACTTATAATCCAAGAACGAGCTGTGATGCAACGATGGGTGTGGTCTTGTATGGCGCTATCCAGCATACGCCGCATTATGTCACTTGAAGCTGGCTGAAGCTTTATTTAAGAAGTACAGTGTCCCAGAAAATACCATCTACAATTTACTATCTCAACGCATCTACACCACCGATCCTATAGCTTGACAACTCACGCAATGGCCACTCTCCACTGTGCGTTGTTCGCACCGTTTGCCCCCCCACCCCTCCCCAACCAAAACTAATGATGACGATTAGATCTCCCTCCTGTTAAGCCCTCGGCCATCGCGGCCGGCGCCGCCTTCACCCACACTGCTTCTCTGGGAATCCTTGCCCCAGTCTTCGGAGACACATACCACCGCGCTCAGGCCGCGAACTCGAAGGAGGACTTCATCAAGTCTAAGGAGGCCGCCGGCGCTGCGGCGGCCTGGGGTAGCTCTTTGGTTGGAAGCGCTGTGCAGACCTATGGAGTTGCCGCCTTGATCAACGCAACAGGCACCCTCAGTTACAAGGGTGCTGCCTACCTCGGAAGCTTGATCTTTTTTGCCAGTTCCGCCCCTAGTGTATGTCGCCCGCGCGATTACACTCCTATCTTTTTTTGTCTACAAGTACTGACCACTACTGCACAGTTCCTCAGCCAGATCTTTACCGAGAAGAGGCCCCTTGATACGGTTGCCGTCGGCGCTGTCGCAAGGGTATTTGAAACGGTTGGGTTGAGCTTGTTTCTAACCTGGTGGGGTACTCGCACGAATCCTTTTGATTAAATGGGCTTCTAAACCCGTTTGCCGTCGTTAGGGATATGTCTCCGGGAGCGTATTCCGTCATGTTTCTATTATGTTCATAGCCATTAGTTTGAGACAATAAACAACCATACTCTCAATAACCCTCCTATTGCATCAATTGGCGTATGTGAGATCGAGGCAGAGGAAGTAATATGGCACTTTATCCTGCGGTTACACTTGCCCAGGACGATGATGGGACGAGCTAAACGTCTGCTGATTTGAAACTTCACGTATGCACAGATGGCCTCGAGCGGCTGACGACATTGCTGAAAGTCTTGAATGTCAACGTGGTTTTCTAATCGGTGCGGCGCGATATTTCACATCATACTGAGACAGTGGGACTCGTATATATCCTTGAGATACACCGTGAACCAAGATTTGAATCTTTCACCTATCTGGCCACAGCTCCTAGGCTGAGGATGGCGTTTCATGCGACTTGGCTGTGCCCTCGAGCAAGAACGATTTGGCCACCGTTGGAGACGAGGTACAGAAGAGTGAGAAAAATACATTGCCTCTAACAAGGACTGTCTAAGCATCTAAACGAAAGTACGGCAGGGATACCTGGTATATCATTAGCTCAATATACTAGCATAGCAGCAGTTAAATGAAGAGGGCAACATACACATTGGGGTAACCATGATCGCTGTCGATCTGGTACTTTGAGGCCGAGTTCAGGTTAGCAGGCAATGGCGGGAGACCATTGGGGCCTAAAACACCCTTGATACCCGCCTTATCCTTCTCGAACAAGCCAGCCAGACCACGCTCCTCACCCTCCTGCTTGACAGAAACGAGCTGCTTCTCACCCGCTTCGCCGATTTTCAGAATCTCATCTTTCGGCGCCGCCTGGCTTCCGACGGTGAGAAGGCCAACGGCATCGGCCTGGTTCACTGTGCTGACTCGGGGGTAGTTTCGGCGGACGTCGCGCTTCCAGTATGGGTTGTCGGCAATATCGCCGGCTGGGAGAGTGACAGGGTCATCGTATGATTGGGGAGGAAGGGAACCAGGCGTTGGAAGACGAAATTGCGAGTTCAATGGGACACCAGTTGAACGCTCGGGATCAATGGCAAGTAGGCGGCGGAGGCGTTCCCATAGGCCTGTGGATTGGACGGAGTATTTCTGGAATCAAACAATGTTAGGAGGATGGGCATTGACTGTCTATGGAAGGTGGATTATACATGGTTGATTGAGACAACAGTCGAGGCCGACTTGGCCGCCTTCACGACGTTGCGGGCCATGATGCTTCTGAGCGCTCTGTTTGATTCACAATCTCAGTGGGGGTCGCTTCAAAGAAATTGAATCCAATTGTGGCGTGCGAAATTTTACCTTATCCCTGAAGATGGCTAGGAATTAAGAGGGTACTACTGGTCTGTTGTTGAGGAATTGACTGAGGAACAGCGAGCGGCAGTCGTGTGGCGGAAAAACTGATGTTCCACGCTTTTGTACAAATCACGATTGCTCAAATGTTAATCCAGAAGTAGTACTATGGCGATGGCTAAACACAACAACAGGAATTACAAGCAATCAAACATAAGGGCTAGGTGTTTACGAGTGATAAACTGGGTCTATAATAAGGTTATATCTTGCTCAAGCTGAACAATTGTGACTCGCCATACTTTGTAGACTCAACATTATAAAACCGCAAGCTTAGATTCGCGACAAGTGAAACGAACGTTTCTGCATGTCCTTCCGAGCCGCGATCTTTCAAGTGTCGCTGTTCTTGTCCTTACTATCTTTGGACGTCGAGATGACCAATTGCCGCACTGCCTCCACAGTTGCATCAGGACCGCCGGACTGCAGGATCACGACTTTGCCCGCCTTGTCTATAACGAAAACGCCCCGAATTGTTCCACGAGGTACCTTTTTCAAACCAATTGCCCCAATCAGGGTGAAAGCAGGGTCGCAGAGCAGAGGGTACTGCAGATTTTGCTTCGTCTTGAACGTCGTATTGGCTTTGGGTGAATCCCCGGAAAGGCCGTAAATGGACAGGCCGGTGGAGGTCAGCTTGTCATGGCCATCGCGAAAGAGGCATGCTTGCTTAGTGCCTGAGCGGTATCTGTCAATCACAAAACTCGATGAAAAGGTAGAAAGGGACGCGCATCAAACGGCAAAGCCGATAATGGTGGTAAAGGGCTTAAAACTTCGATAGATTGACTTACAGCCAGGGGTCGAAGCTTTGGGATATGTGAATAGCACGACACCCGATTCGCTCTCGTCAACGAGTGCTTTCAGTGTAGTCTTTGTGCCATCATTGGTCTCGACTTCACCGCCAAATCCATCTAGGCTCACAACATCGCCAACTTTTGGAACGGGTTCAGTAGACGATGGGGTCGCGATTTCCGCTGGTTTGGGTGTTGTTGCAGGAGCCTTGGTCTTGGTGCGCTTCTTGACCTGCACTGGGGGCGGTGGCGGCGCTTTGCGCTTTCTCAATTCAACCATTGCTTCTTCGTTTGATATTATGCGACAAGTACGAGACCGAGCTTGAGTGGTACGAATTGGCAGTGTCAAACCCAGTACGGCGTACGGAAGACACTTGAGTGTTTAGGAGAAGGCGAAGATTGCCTGGGCTCTCCTAAAAAAAAGGCCGTCCTAAACAGAACGCGGTCTGAAGCACATAAGCGCCTGCGTCCTGGGCCATTTAGTGCCAGTCCTCCTAGGTGAGTGCTTGATGAGGCATAGCGGCTTATCAATCGACAAGGGTAGTCGTTTTGAAAATATGTAGGGGCGCAAGGCTCATTGACGAGGGCGCTAGTAATGGTGAAGCGTCTGCTGCGATTTCTCAACTCGAATCGTGCAGATATACCCGTCCAAGGCAAATAGATAACCCATATCTTTGAGTACGCCTGGAGGGCTCTGCTTGAGCCTCTCAGTATTCTGTGGTATGGACCTGTTGAATTGGATCATTAATTCATCATCTCATTTGACCTTTCTCGCCTCCTCCATCATCATATTTCATTGTGATGATATGCATGGAGATATCCTTACTAATTATACCCGCCTTCCAGTCTGGACCGAAGCTGACCAGTGAGGCGAGAGCTCTCAATTTTCTGCCGGAATATCCCGACCGTCAAGGGTGGAACTGGGAATTTCCCCGGCTCATGCTCTTCTCTGCCACGGAAATGGAGTCCAGGCACTAAATTTTCTCTTCCATTCCATCGCCACATCTCCGCTTTTACAGACGATCCGTCCAAGGGTTTGTCCTACTTATACCTTTTCACAAGGGTTCTATCTCGCTCTTTTCTAGCTACTATTTGCCGCATTATCAAGAGACTCTTTTGTCGCGTTTATTCCTCACGAGAAGCTTGGGAAACGGTCCTTCGGAAGTTGCACTTTTACCGGAACAAAACTGTCACGAGCCTACTATCGCCGCACATACATTTTGACGGGGTCATCAACAAAGAGTTACTACTGCGGTAGAACCCACATCTCACTTTCTGGCCATGAAGGTCTTCTCGTCAAATTGTACCTTTGACTACTCATGGGAGGAGGTCTCAACGGCGAACTGGCGGAAGTACTGTCCATGGAATGATAAATCACCACATGTCGTGGGGGTAGATACCCTATCGCGAAACGTTGATCCCGGGACGGGAATTGTAAGTGCCATCTTAGAGCGAAACTTCTTGATCAAGTCTTAACGATTATAGCTGCGCACCGAACGACTTATCACGTGCCATCAATCCGCTCCGCAATGGGTTCTGTCGTTGTTCGGAGGTACGGCAACGTCTCACGTCTACGAGGTGTCTTACGTTGATCCTGTCGCGAAGAAAGTTACAATGTGCTCCACAAATCTCACATGGGCAAATGTTCTGAGTGTCCGCGAAACTGTTATATACCAACGGTCACCATCGATGCCTTCGTCTTCAACCGATTTCCGGCAGGAAGCTCAGATCACTGCTCTTTGCGGTGGCTGGCAGAAGATCAAAAACAAGGTTGAAGAGGCAAGCGTCGAAAGGTTCAAGGAGAATGCCAAACGGGGTAGGGAGGGGTTCGAAGCTGTCCTTGAAATGAGCCGACGAGTCTTCAGCGAACAGCGTGAGCTTGAGACTAGCGCTGCGTGATCCCTCTACTGCAGCTGACAGCGTTGGCCTGCATCATGACACTTGAAGCGTTTGCCTTGCATAAACCGGCGTCGGGTTGAGTTGTTTTCTTAAAGCGTGTGGTTGATTGGCGTTCCTAATGTTCTGTTCTGCTTTTCTCTTTTCCTGCTACCACGATCA